CGGTCCCTTACATTCTGTAAATACATGCCATGGGCTTCTGTGCAGGTTTCTTATGGCCGATCCCTTACATTCTGTAAATACATGCCATGGGCTTCTGTGCAGGTTTCTTATGGCCGGTCCCTTACATTCTGTAAATACGTGCTATGGGCTTCTGTGCAGATTTCTTATGGCCAGTCCCTTACATTCTGTAAATACATGCTATGGGCTTCTGTGCAGGTTTCTTTTGGCCAGTCTATTACATTCTGTAAATACATGCTATGGGCTTCTGTGCAGGTTTCTTATGGCCAGTCCCCCTTACATTCTGTAAATACATGCTATGGGCTTCTGTGCAGGTTTCTTATGGCCAGTCCCTTACATTCTGTAAATACATGCTATGGGCTTCTGTGCAGGTTTCTTATGGACAGTTCCTTACATTCTGTAAATACATTTGTACATGCTATGGGCTTCTGTGCAGATTTCTTATGGCCAGTCCCCCTTACATTCTGTAAATACATGCTATGGGCTTCTGTGCAGGTTTCTTATGGCCAGTCCCCCTTACATTCTGTAAATACATGCTATGGGCTTCTGTGCAGGTTTCTTATGGCCAGTCCCTTACATTCTGTAAATACATAACACCGCACCGCATTTGCCGCATTCTGGCCATGCTGTGTGGCGCGTATCGCGTGGACGGGTTTCACGTTCTCTGCACGTAATAAGCTCGGTTATTAAGCATCCTTTTTTGGGGATGCCCGGTGGCCGAGGGGAAGACGTGTAGTGGCGTGAAGCTAGGCGATTAGGTGCCGTACGTGAGCGCCGGTTCGAGTCACGCACGCAGTACGTATTTACTATAATTAGACATAGTCTTTACCTTGCCGTTTATTCGGTGTTATTTGCTTACTTTATTCTGTAAATACATGCTATGGGCTTCTGTGCAGGTTTCAAATATATCTCCATTAGCTTTAATTGAATTGGCGGAGTGTAACTTTAATGTTCACATGGCATCCTCCTTGAAGCTTGAAAACCTTGTTTCTGTTAGTGATATATCATAGGTCAAATCTACTGAAAACATGCGTGTTTCAGGCCAATCAAACCTTATTATGTTTGTGCCATTTCAGTCTTATAATTCTGCTACAACACAACTGAATTTGGGAATTTGGTACTATGCAAATCTTGTGTGTAAAACCCAAATTTCATCTAGTTTTTCTTGCTGTCATTGTATTAAATGAACATACACTCAAACATGTTATTATTAAGTTTATATGTGGCAACAGACTAAGGTCCGGAAATAAAAGTAGCCCAAGGTGCCACAGACTACCAACTCTTGTCTTAGGGCTACTACTTTCAAATGTAGTTGTCAAATGAACTACTAGAACTTTACCAAAAAAATCATATGATGTTGTCTACATAAATAGAGTACTAGTATTTATTTATTTGTCTTCATACTTATATGCATGGCTTTTAGTAGTTACATTGTACTAAGCCTAATGGATCATAAATTATCACATGGACTAGTACATGTAACTCTTAAAATTAGTAGTCAAATACACACATAAGAAAAAAACAACTTTATTATTTACAAACAAAAGAAGAATTGTAATTTGTTATGCCTACATGTATAATAATAATAATAATAATAATAATAATAATAATAATATAATAATAACAAATTACAATTTATCTTACTTGTGAATTGTTGTAGTAATAGTTAACACAATTCTCACTTCATTCAATGATGAATAAATGTGATTGAGTTCAGTCTTGTTCACAGGAGGCCAATGTATGTAGTTTTCATGAAGAGTTATTGAAGGAAAATTTGCACACACTGATAGCAAAGCAGCATAAACATAATTATGTCAGTGTGGTGTTCCGAAATAATATTGTAATTATCTTATAACAGCTAGAATGAGTTATTGTGCACACAAGGACAAAAAAAAAAACTCAGGCATTTGATTCCTTTTAATTTCATGTGCAGGCAAAAAAAAATGTGTCATTCTCGCAAGGCAATCAGTGAATGTTTGTACGTGCTGTCAAATAAAATTATGATGCCATTGCTTAGCGATCAACACAGACTTAACATCAAACCAAAATGATTGGCTGACAAATTAATTACAATCATAAAACTTGAAAACAATTTCAATTGAAAACAAATGAATGACATAGATACCTAGTCTTCAGTGCTGTGATTTGTTGCCATAGCAACTGATTTTATCATTTTTGATGATGATCACAATAATCAGTGCAAGGTGTTTTTCACATAATACAAAGTCGAAGTGCAGTTATCTCTCACACTCACTTATATTTTTGTTGTAGGTTTTTTTTTACTCTCATGAGACAAAAATGTAAGGAAATACACACAACAGTTTAAAAATGGAGAATGAAAAATTACCAAACATTTGATGCCAAATGATTTAACAACAGGCAGTTCTTGAGCATGTTTTCAAGGACATGTATCTTCACTATAAGGGGAACAAAATATTTCATGTCTCTAGTCCTTCATGGTGGCTAATTGTCTTGTACATTCTAAACTGATAAAACAATTCTACCCCAGTATATTTATTTCCCGCTGAGAACATTATATATCTATTAATCCATCATTATTTGTTCTTATGGATTAGCTTAATCTGGGATTTATTGTGTACTTAATAAGGTTCATAGATTGACTTATCAGATACTAACTTGATAACCCCCTTGTACAAGTACTGTGTGCAACGTGTGTCCCATTAATCTTGAGTCTTAACACAAACCTAGAGGTGGCTATATATACGGGCCAACAGTTCCTGAAAATGTACGGAGATATTCAAAGACATTATATTAACTATGAGACGAACAAAATACTTCATGTTTCTTTCTCTAGTTCCACATGAATTGCAAATTCTCTTATTTATTCTAAACTGATCAACAAATTCTACTCAAGTATATTTATTTCCTGGTGAGAACATTATAATCAGTATCAATTAATTCGTCATTATCTGTTCTTATGGATTAGCCTAATCTGCAAATTACTCACCTCGTTTATGTGACAGAATTTTATCAACCAACCAAAAGCTCAAGTCGGCTTGAGCCAGTAAAAATAAACTTATTTAGCTCAAGTCGAATTTGATTTCAATAACTTCTTGTGGTTGAAATATGATAGGACTGAGCCTCAATGTGGCCTGACTGTTTAAAGAGAATTCCCAGTCAAGAGCTGGCACTGTTCCAGATCTAATCACTCTGAACTTCAGACCCTGTTCAACCCTAACCATATAATCGCACATGAGATAATCTTCTGTTTATTGGTAAGGGAAGCAATTGTGCGGCTTTGATAAGATGCTGCTCTGTAAACCTAGCAATCAAGTTAATACATGGACTTATCAGATACTAACTTAATAGCACACTTTAATACTGTGTACAATGTGAAATCATTAAACATGTGTACTAACACAAACCTGGAGATGGCTAGGTACAATTTTAGACATCTGAATATCCCAGATGACAGCCATCTTCATTCCTGTATCATTGTTTTTTTCCTTTCAATTTATTTTTTCCACTGTCTCATATTGAAACGTGCATTTTGCTTCACACAACCAGAAATGCTTAATTTCAAAATTCATCTGTATACTTATCTCACAGACTCAAACTGTAGTCTTCAGTAGAAGGCACACCTTATGAGATTTGAAGAACCATTAAAATACGTTGAACAGTTATCTGGTGTGGGGAAACTTTGCTAGAAATTGATAGATAGATAACTTTAAAAAATAAAAAATAAATTGTACAGCTTCTGCATGTTGATCTTAAAACTCAGACTTGCAAATGTAGTCTTCAGTAGAAGGCACACCTTATGAGATTTCAAGAACTGCTAATTAAATTGAAATACCAAGATCATATCAGTACCCTACTAGTGTAGGAGTGTTTATATTAACATTTTAAGTTTGATAGATTATTTTATTGATTATTTTATTTATTAAGATGCTAGTATTAGAAGTTTGCCCTAAGGTTCGAGCCTGATAACAAAACCTTCCACTTTAGAATGATAATTTGACATTCTTTTTTTTATTCATTTCCCCCGGCTTGGTAAAAATAACTGAAAAATCTATAATATATACATGTAGTATAGTTCGCATAAAAGTAAAAGTTTCAATCATTTACGTGATTCATTCCATAGACAATAAACCTATTCTATTGCAACCTGTAAATCGACAGATACATCACGGCCGAAAGAATTCCATGAAGTAGATGGCCTTGAATATTGGTTTGTAAATAAACAACAAATGAAGAAAGAAATACAAAGAGGCTACTTTTTATCTTTTGAGAAGATGGACATTCATTTATACGGCATTAAATTATTGACAGTGCAGACTATGGCAAAGCAGGTAATGCAATGTATATGAACTATACTCCACTTTAGAACTAAAGCAACCACAGGGAATCAATTGGTTCCACTCTTTTCCTGGGCTTACTAGTACTACTTCATGCGTGTATACATGTTCTATTGTGTTCTATTCTATTTTTTAGAGATTCCATTTTATAGTTGTTATGTATATTCTTATGTTTAGCCTATGGATACATTTAAACATTGTTTGACACAAAGCAGAAGCTCTTTTGAATAGTTACATCGGACAACGATTACCAAACATTGTCTACTCTATCAATGTATATACAGGGAAGGGCATAAACCTGGGGATGATATGAACAATCTATAAATATAAATCTTTATAAATCAAAAATTACTGGTAAAAAATTGTATCTGGTAGAATTTAAATTTGAGACATCACAAGTTCTAATTAATATTAATGAGGTAGTTCATCAGCATCCAATCAGCAAGCCTGTTATATTGAATAAGTAAGTGGTAGCAGTTGCTATGTACTTGGGTGCATGTACATTATTGGCATAGACATTATCAAGCTCTCTAACCAATCATTATTAAATATTTGAATTTGAATGAAAGCTTATGATCAGTAATTGTTATGTTTATAAACTGCCTTACTACCTTTCACTGTACTAGTTCTTTTATAAGAGAATTTTTACACTGCTGAACTCCTGGATTGTGTGGAAATTTCTAGCATCAAAAATGAGATGACTTGCAATATATCCCATCTTAGAATATTCAAATTTCATTATATAGTTTCCAAATATAATTCCTTTTATCCATTTCACTGTTTTTCTACAATGTAACTGCAAACAAAATGACGCAGCTGGTTCAAAGCCTTGAAATGTCACTATTCACACTGACGTTGCCTTCATGCTGGTATGCTGATTGTCAATTCTGTCATCATGATAAAGTAGGTTATCGCATGATAAAAACTTAATAACAAAATTCATATTTAATGGTGTTTACAGTAAAGTCTTCCCAATTTGGCCCATATTCTATATAATAAATTCAGTTTCCTTGAAATCTCTTTTTTTTTATATTTGGTCAAAAACAAAGTTTTGTATAGGTAATATTTTTTAGGTAGGGTTGGGTTACTCAAACCACAAATATTTTTTTATTTGGCCTGAAGAGTTATGGATAACAGCTGATGTAGTTAAATATGCTCTGTTTGATTGTTTGATTCTCACATATATTTAATTTTTAACCATAGTAATTAACAACACTTTTTTTTTATATGTAGGGAAAACACTGTGTCCTTTTTGGTACTGAAGTTGAGGGCGCTCTGCGACTGATGGAGGCCAGATTAGATCCATACATTATTTACATCAAACCTACGTTCTGCCATTCACTGCAAAATATGGTTAAAAGCCTGTCTGTGCGTGATACACAGAAATATTATGCACATCTCCTACAGCAAGAAAAGGCTTACAAACATGTCATAACAGGTAATTCTGTAATACTGAAAGAAATACAGTGTAGCATTCATCTACTAACAGTTCTGAATTTGATGTGACTGCAAGCTGTCAGCTCATTTCACGATATTCTTGTAAAAACATCTTGAAACTGAATCAAATGAATTTTCAAGGTTTAATTTTTTTCTCTAGAGTGCGCAGTAAACAGTGGGAGTCATTGTGGTTAACCCTGTGTGTGTGGGTGGGTGGGTGGGTGTGGGTGGGTGTGTGTGTGTGTGTATGTTTATGTATATTCCATTGGTATCTCAAGACCACTTGACAGATTTCTATGAAACTTGTTAGACATAGATGCTCTCGGCCAATGACTTGAGTGTTGAGTTGAAATTTAAGAAATTTAATTACCTAATATAAATATTGATTAGCCAATGTTAAGCACCTTCATTGAGATCTCCATTGTTACTCGTCAATTTTCTATAATATATACACCTAATAAAAGGCCATTTCTGTGCATATTAATTACCTAATTTGCATAAATCAAACAACTTTTGATTTTTCAAGAGCATTTATCAGATTTCAAAGATACATTGGAGCCCTGTTTAGTTTATAAGTGAAATCAGTGCTGCATAACAGATTGAAATGAAATA